TACAAGAAGGAGGATCACAACTGGTCATCTTGTACCATGGAATATTTTAACTGTTCTTATACCTGCAATATGTATCAGTGTCTGATCCCCTTGCTCAGGTCACTCACACATTTATACTTTCATACAACTAAATATATGAATATCCCATAGCAAACATTCACTTCTCACCATGACTTATTAACAATCAATTAACTATTGTTTAGCCATATGAAAACCATGTGGAACGATCAGTTATGCAGGAGGAGTGTAAATAACTTCTGGCTGTTTGTCCTAAAACACAATTCAATAATCATTATTAGGGAATTATGTACTGCTTTTCCCCTTTTCTTTCATTTTATTTTGTTTGTGGTGACTCTATAATTGGTTCCCACATCTATTGAGTCAGTGCATTAGAAATGAAGAAGTCAGTTAGTAGCAGTGTTGGTGGTAGTACTTGTTCTTGTAGTAGTAGTAGTAGTAGTAGTAGTAGCAGCAGCAGTAGCAGTCATAGTGGCAGTAACAATGGCAGTAGTTGTATAAAACAAAATGTTCAACCCTATGTTATTCACGAGATTTGCTGGCCCTGAAAGGGGCCGTTTGTTCAATTGTGCGTGTGCTAGTGCCCCTTTTCAGGGCCAGCAAATCTTGTGAACAATAGATATATATCGAAACGGCTTCCCAGCCATCCTGTACATTTGTAAATAATATATACACCTGTTATAGTTTTACGTGGTTGTCTCTTGGAACATTGACGTCCCACTTTGGTGACTGAAGGAGTAGTCTGTTGGACTGTGGGAAGTTCCCACATGGTTAATAAATCCAAACTCAAATCAAAAACCCGCGGAGAATCAATCTAACACGTAACAGTAACTTAAAACACGGCGTGAATAAGGACAATTATCATGATATGAACTACACAAGTTATTATTGTTCTTTTACAGACAAATTGAACTTAAATGTGAGAGCACCAATGTTGAGATTTCACCCGCAACTCATGGTAATGTTTTCAGCTTGCACAGTGCACGTGAGCAGCTCCTGGTTAACTACCTCGTCTTCTCTTCATTGGAAGATATTACAAAATTTTTCTCTCCCCAGTGAATAATATTCACGTCGATTGTAAGCGTGGTGAGCACAGCGTGGGCGTTGGGAATAGGTGTGTTTAGTACCCCAACAGATGTCGTTTAAGAAAGAAATACGATTCCTTCTCCCATTGTACATTTAATTCATGGTTTTATTTCGAGCACAGTGTTTTTGTAGTGCTCTATCCGATTACAGGGAAGGCTCTCAACCACGTTCGAGTCGGGCTCTAAAATTTCTCGGTTATTACAGAACACAGATTTCTAATATAAACCCCTGTAAGACAGAGGTGATTTGAACATTCTCGTAACAAGCTTATTTTTTACGGCGAGGAGTTGTTAGCCCCACGCCCAACCTCCTAGTTGGAGGACCACCCCTTGTCTGCTGTCCGTGACTGCTTATTCAATATATTCGCAGCTTCCATCCATACCTGGAGGGCATCTTCTGCTCCTCCTGCATAATGTGAAACTTCATAACTTGTACTCTTCTTCAAGTATAATTAGAATGATCAAGTCAAGCAGGATGAGGTGAGCAGGGCATGTAGCACGAATAAGGAAAAGAGGAAGGCATATGGGATATGGATGGGATAGCCAGATGGAAAGAGACCAGTGGGAAGATCAAGGCACAAGTGGGTGAACAATATTAAAATGGATCTTACAGAGATAGGATGGGATTGGATTGATCTAGCTCAGTATAGGGACCAGTGGTGGATTCTTGTGAACACGGTAATGAACCTTCGGGTTCCATAAAATGCTGGGAAGTACTTGAGTAGCTGCACAATTGGCGGCTCCTCAAGAAGGGCTCAGCTCTATGGGTGAGTGAAGACAGAAGTGACAAACTCGAGGCTGAAGGGTTCAGTGAGAAATTACAAGAGTTTTGCTGAACCAAAATGAGTTCATATTATGCCAGTGCAAAAATTAATTCACTGAACAGTGAAAACAACACAGCAAGCCACGAACAAACCGTGAACGACATCAAGAACCTCCTCATCAAGATAGACAGGCGGCACAAAATCTGCCCCATACAAGAAGGACGATAGGAGTACGGACACGAACCTACGTGGTTTAAAAAATTTTAACTATTGACAATAAAGGTTTTTTAAATAACATCTAGAAACTTTTAAACACTTTACAACACTAGGAAGCTGCTGTGATTGTGAAACGTTCGACTTTAAGCGTACTGTGCATTATAGGATATAAGTGTATGTATGTTAAATCAAAACACGTATTGTGATGGTAGTTTCCAGTTTGTAATGATGTTCCCACTGAAGATGGCCCGTAATGACCGAAACATGTAAGGGAGATAAGTTTTAACGTAGTAAAAACTTATATGTCACATTGGACGGAGTGATTTGTATTTATAAAAATTAATATTATAACATTCTCAAAATTAAAGAATAATTACATGATTATTTATCACTACTAGTCAAATTAACGTGACAGATGCTTCTGCTTACATTCCCCGAAAAGTCTGCCAATATGTGGTGCAAATGTCAACATTAAAACCCGCAAAACTGGTGCCAGATATCCATCCGCAAATATACCCGGAAATCGGATTTTTTCAACATAATTAAAGGAAATGTTTGTTTGCAGTTACGTGGGGATCAAAAATTTCACAACACATTTTCAAAGTTTGTAACAGTACTATATTTAGATTTACATAACAGTCCAAAAAATCGCACTCTTCGCACAATTGGACATTTGTATTAATTCTTTATCACCGTGCAGGTTAGTCAGCTTCAGCGGAAGAGTGGAACCCTTCCATCAACGGTGGAGTGGGGGCAACTCAACAGTTGCTCCGTTGTTATAATAACTGAGCCGTCTACATAATGCTGTGATTGCGACTATACTTATGGCTGCACAGTGCTCTCATACTTCGTGGAGTTATAAAAATGTGTAAATTTATTTTTCTTCACTGGATTCGAGAATAAACACGGTTCTGTTTTGAAAGCCTGCAGCTGTACATAACTCGGAAACAAGGAAGTCTATCGCTGAAGAATAACATTTGAGCAGAACATGGATAATTCAGGCGGCACATCGATTACGCTGAGGAACCAGGCGGCTGAGGAGTCGGTGTTCAATACCCGCCTGGAGCTAATTATTTTCCTCCCCACAGTGTCCAGTCCAGTTACAGGCGCGATCCAGCCTCAAATCCAAAGACTACCAGAGGTCCTTTCCCCAGGAGTAAATAGAGGAGAGTTAGAAGCTAATGACTCGCTTCCATGTAATTCTGAGGCTAAGAATACGTGGAGCTATACCTCCACTTGTCTATGTCTTCATGACGTGGTGCTTAATTATGCACAGGGACGACTGACATTACTTACTTACTTAAGCACAATAGACCACTGTATGTCGCGGTGTAAGGGACGAGAAGGCCCATCCCTTATATATTCATTCATTCATACTTACTTATTCAATCCGTTCCTCTTATACCTTACGGTGTCGATGTTTTTTTTTTCATTTTGATCATTTTACAGACGGTAGGACTCCTTGGACGGGTGATCAGCTCGTCGCAAGGCCTCAATCTAAACACAGGACAACATAAACACAGAATAAGCACATACACATACCAAATATCCATGCCTTGATTCGAACCCACGATCCCGGCTTCCGAGCTAGCGGAGACAGTACATGCCTTAGACCGAGCGGCTACCGTGACCGGCAGACTTACTTTACATTAAGTGTAATTACATATTACTTGAAAGAAGATCTACTCTCCCATCTCCTGGGTGCTAAGACTTTTGTATAAACCTACGTACTCCTTGTGCCGATATTTGAGAATAGGGTAGCTGGAATAATATTTAGATCTAAAATGGAGGAAGCCGATCACGGTAGCCGAGCGGTCTAAGGCATGTACTGTCTTCGCTCGCTTGGAAACCTGGATCGTGGGTTCGAACCCCACTCAGGGCATGGATGTTTAGTTTGTGTGCTTGCGTTCTTCTGTGTTTGTGTACAGGTAGAGGCCTTGCGACGAGCTGATCACCCGCCCAAGGATTCCTACCGAATGTGTAAGATCTAGAAAAGCCGAAGTGAACGGAGAAGTTCATGGAGGTAGGCCTAGGCCCACTGGGGCTGTAGTGCCAAGGGGAAAAAATGGAGGAAGTGGCAAGAGGGTGGAGAAAGTTACCTGTAAATGATAAGGTTCGTATTCTGTACTCTTCGCCAGACATTATCAAGCCAAGCAAAATGAGGTGGCAAGAGAATGAAGCACTCAAGCTTCTGAGAGAAAGGGGCCACTTTAGGAACATAGAACGGATAATGATATTAAGATGGATGGTAGACTAATAGGCCATGAAGATAGAATAGCTAAGGATAGAGTGTAGTGTCGATAATAATGAACCTTCGAGTTCCAATAAAGCAATGGATTTCTGAACAACATCTAAAAGTTTGTGACAATGGTACGTTAATACAACTATTGAACTTTTAGACTTGTCTTGAATTAGATCATCCTCATTTCAATTATTTGGATTTCGCAACAACAATTCTTTTACAGTGCAAGGTCAGTCTTGTGTCTAACCGCCAACCTGGGGAGCAGGTCTCTGTATTTATGTCCCCCAGTGACAGGGAGGTCCAGTTATACCCCAAGGCGCCGGGTGCCCTTTTCGATGCCTTGTGCGACTCACAGGGCTACGGTGAAGGCATTCTAACCCGCATCCACACGGGACATAATACATAATTCATAATCATTTGTAATGAGTGCATAGTTGTATGTGTGTGCGTGTGTTTGTGATTATTCTGGGAATATACTGCTCAGAAAATCTAAAAATCGGTGAGACTAAAGTACCCACCATTTTTACAGGAGCTATGCATCGAGAATGCGCATCTGCGGGTATGATTTGTTGGTAAAGAACGCTGTGGCTGATGGAGCTGATGAATCTCCTTTCTCTGACTGTACGAGCTTAGTATTTTTAGAGACTGCTGCTGCTGCTGCCTGCTAGACACGGCCTGCCCTGTGCACTTAACATGAGAGTTGTCGGCCGCTCAGTGAGGTGACGGCTCCTGTCCGATCCGGACATCGCGTTCAAGTGCTGCCGGCTGTCTCGCACATGACAAAGCTGATTCATGTCACAGTCGATCCTCAACACACATTCCGACAGGAGAATCACATTTGTTAGTAAAAGGTAAGATTAAATTTAAAGCAGATTACAGTCGGGGAATGCCTGCTTTCGTGTCTCCTATCTAGAAATGTGTGAAGACTAAATAGAACAATATTTTTACCAGTCTTTACGAGTGTGAAACTTAGCCTGACACAGTATAGGAAACTAGTTTAGGGGTGTTCAGGAAAGGGCGGTGAGAAAATATTAGACCTCTGAGGGGAGGCGTAAGAAGGGGATGAGCATGTTCGTAATTTTTACTTTCCACAAGATACTACCTGGGCGATAAAATGAAGGAGGATGAGATGGGCGGGGCATGAAGCATGCATGAAAAACTTGACATGTTTAAATAAAAAGTTGGTGGAAAACTGTGAATGGAAGAGATCATTTAGACGAATTCTAGTTGTAGTTGAGGGGATAATATTAAAATGGGCCTTAAAGAAATATTGTGAGGGTGTGAACTGGGTTCGCCTGGTTCAGGATAGAGATTGATGATGAGCTCATATGAACACGGTAATGAACTTTCGAGTTTCATAGAAAGAGGACCCTTCTTGAGTAGCGGAGTGACGGTTGCCTTCTCAAGGGTTCTGCTTCGTACATTTAGTTGTTAGTTGCTTACTAAGAACGTGTATAAAAATCTGAAATTTAGATAACTTTGCTTCCTATACAGACGGAAGTTTGTACATTTGTAGGTTTCTGAATATAAAAACCTTAGAACATAATTAAAACTGTGACAGGGGCTAGAATGTGCGCCCAAGGATGGGATCTCAGTTATAAAGGGGTCACAGTGATTAATGTAGTGCATGAAGGTGAATATTCAAGTAAAAGTTCGCTCTTCTGAGTAGAATTAAGTAAATATTTCGAGTGACTACTGAAAATGTTTTCATACGAATGTATTCACCACAAATTTAGAAGCCCAAGTATAATCCTGTGCTTTCTTGGCTTTGTCACGGATTGCACGTTCGGGTCCCGTCACACCCTTGAATTCAAAGCGCAGTAATCGCAACCAGAAACAGAAATTGCCGCGGCAGTATTTCCTCTGGTTGCCAACACTGCACGAGTCGAGTCTCGCGGGTAGTACTGCCTCGTATCCGGAGGGCCCGAATCAAAAATGAAATTGAGACTGAACATCCAAATATTTTGGTGGTTTCCTTCTGCCTTCCAGGTGAACGCTGGGGAGGGGCGCGTACTTCAAATTAGACCACGACCACTTCCCTGCACATTCTTTCAAATTAAGTATTCACTCTCGTCCTATATTCGATGCTAGGCAGCCAGAGTTACTGAAAATGTCGTTAAATTAGCAATGAATAATTAAATAAAGTAAAGAAGTATTGCGCCGGTCACGGTAGCCGAGCGGTCTAAGGCATGTACTGTCTTCGCTCGCTTGGAAACCGGGATTGTAGGTTCGAATCCCACTCAGGGAATGGATGTTTAGTTTGTGTGTGAGCGTTTTTCTGTGTTTGTGCACAGGTAGAGGCCTTGCGACGAGCTGATCACCCGCCCAAGGTGTCCTACAGAATGTGAACGGAGAAGTTCATGGAGGTAGGCCTAGGTCCACTAGGGCTGTAGTGCCAAGGAAGAGAAGTAGTGTAAGACAGGATGCTTGAGTTCCCTGCAGTGCTGGATGATCACTTAAGAGATGCCATTTTCCAGTCTCGTCAGGTCAAAGTTGATGCCACTAGGAAGTGACATGTATATCACGGAACAGAGTGACATCAGTATTCTAAAAATTTATGGAAAGTGCATTGTGCTTCCACGCTTTGTCATTTGGTTTCTGGCTCATAAGAAGCATGTCTTTAAATTTACATTATGAGACCAGAATATACTAAAAACACTTGTGATGAATGTTACAATGTCAGTGCCTTTGTGAGTTGCGGATCTCGTGCGCTGATAATAGAAACTCAGCTAATACTGCAGCCTATTATTTGGAAAGAAGAACAAATTCCCACTAAGGAACGGGGGGGAGGTTAATGACGCCGACGTATGTGGAAGTACCGATAGGCCCTTCGGTCAACATACTCCTGTGTTTCCGCCAAATTTCCCCATGGGAATGAACTCCGTGGAGTTGTCCTTGAGAACGTGACAGTCGTTTAGGTAGTCAAGAAATGTTTCATCATTTATAGATCCAACTGATTCATAACCGCCTTCACAAGAACCCGCTCTTGGCCTCTGCCCTGAGCCGCAAGAGCCCATTCTACCCCTTCACATCCTGTTTCTTTAGGACCTATTGTAATATTACACTCTGATCTATGCCCACGTCTCCAAAGCGATCTCTTCTACAACAATTTCGAAACAAAGAGAAGGAAGGTATATAATTATGGCGTGCTTAAATTATTTGTGATTTCCAAACAATTACATGAAGACAGGCATCAAAGCAAACAATGTCACTAGTTCGTCAAGAATGCACCTACAACTGAATACTTACGACAGATCAAAATTACGACATAAGGAATACAATGAGCGTACAGTGGACGAACACTTCCATCATAACAAAATGTAATATTTTTGCTCGCATATGCATAATATACTCTAATTATTTAGACCTATTCTGTGTTTAGTTGCCCATGCCCAGCTATTTAATGATTAGCAAATGAGTTCGGTGTCCTATTATAATAGTTCGCATTTGAGTCGAAATATTTGTCAATTAATTATCTAGTAAATAAATAGAATGCCTGTATGACTTAAGACAAGAGAAGAACTAGTTATCGAAATAATGTTCATATTAAATATAACTCGGTATGCACTTTTCCAACGCCATTACAATATAACTTACAACCAATAAGTTAGCCGGGTTTGTACAGGAATCAGCACTGTTGGCACTGACAGTCGAGGTGTCAACTGTACCATAGATCCCTGTAACTTTTCGGTAGGTTTCAGTTAAACTCGTGACTTAATTCTGTTTCATTTTATCAGGACGCCAGATTCGATCTTCCTGTACCAAAGACAAATCTGTCCATCGCCACAGAGGGGCACCGGATGACCCCCTAAGGGGAGCCACATGAATTGGTGAACATGACCTCGAATGCTATCCGTGGGATCCGCCGCAAGAAGTCTTCGCTGTCGGAGGTGAAGGTGGCTGTGATCGGCGCCCCAGCAGTGGGCAAGAGCGGTGAGTGCACAGCAACAAGTACCTCAAGTTAAGGTCCGACGGCGGGCTCTTGTGAAGGAAACTTCAGAGGTTCATAGAGCCCAGTGATTACCGGCGTCTCAAGAGAGACTCTTCTCCACAGAGTTAGCGTCCAGTGGCCAAGATGAAAACACGGGATATCATGAGCAGTTGAGCGATTACTGGCCTCCCAAAGATTGGGTTAATGCGAGGTTGTGGACTGAATTCAGCTGACTTAGAATGACCCTTCTATAGCTCAGGAGGTTAGTCGCCAGTTTCCCACAGCGGAACCACGGGCTCAGTCCCAGGTCAGGTCATGTGGGGTTTGTGGTGGAGAGAGTGGCACTGGGGCAGGCTTCCTAGGATTTATTCGGTTTCCTCTGTCAAATTGCATTCCGCCAACTGTTCCACGTTAGTCAGTCATCATCCAGGGCTGGTACAATAGGCCAGTGCACCAAGTAGACTCAGTCTCACTCCACCTGTAAGGTAAAATAGGTAAAGGTATCCCTGTAGCAATCCGTGGAGTCCCATAGGGTTGTCAGACGTTGAGGTTCCCACATTTTCTAGAGAATCGGCTCACAGATGGCGATGAGGTTGTCCGCCTTACGCGCCAGCCGCCCTTTACCCCCAGGAAGATTCCTGATATTCATTTCTGTCAGAGGCTGAGTCGACCCCAGGGTCAAAGTGCGGCTGGAAGGATTAAGTCAATTTGAAAAATCTAATGACCTCATTGGGAATCGAACTCGCGACCTTCCGGCTTGTAACATAGTGCCTCAACCAACTTGCTACCGCGTGTCCCCATCCCCCCTATAAATTAAGAAATTTAATCTGGTTCAGGATAGAGATCAGAGGTTAGCACTTGTAAACACGGTTTCCATGAAAGGCGAGGAATTTCTTGACTAAATCAGTGACTGTTTACTTCTCAAGAACGATTTCTCTATGTGCAGTGATTATTACGATCATACGACAATTATTCTTGATGCATTTCTTGACATTTACGTTATATCTATGACACCTTAACATTAAATATTAGAAGAACTGAACCCCGAGATTTTAGATAATGAATAAGTTAGGAAATATGCGCGCAATGTAACGATTGCGGCGTGATAGACTTAAAAATTAAGCTATTTAATTCTGTTAAAAACCATATTATTTACAGAAAATTTTTATTAGACATACAACGTGTATCTAAATTTTCCCCAAGACTTCTCTTACGTTCAAGATACGCGCTGAAATGCATGTAGGCCTGAATGCAAAGTGTCCGTCATTTTAGCCTGATCTTACCCAACACCGGTATGGGGCTACTAGTTTTAGTAAAACTCCCCAATGTAAAAATCCATTAAAATAAATTTAGCGGTTCTCTGGTTGTTCATGCGTACATGAAAACCGAGGAATTTTATTAGGAGCTTCACAGGGATGCGAACCAGGCTAAAATCATTATCCAAATTCTATATTTGCAGCAGGACAAGTCATACTTACAACGTACTGCTAAAATTTGTCTTCAAATTAGGAGCAAATTTTTATTTAAGGGTGTGACCCATATTCCTTTGAATTGAGCTCATTATTCGTTTCTGTAAGCAACCATTTAATTTGTTGCTCATGGTAAAGAATGTTAATTTCATATGGGAAATATTATTTTTGATATTTATCGCTTAGGTCAAACACGATCAAACTCCACGCGCGGGACTTTAGTGCAGCCCCATAATTAAACCCAGCTAATGAAAAAGTAAAAATATTGAGTTTGAATAACATTCCCAAAACACTCTAATTCAATATAAAATATATTCACATTTTTTGCATTAATATCAATAGCATAATTTTTGCGCCTAAAAGAGTTATGTAAAATGTTACGAAAAATATGATTGATTCCACTTGCAGTCGTTGAAGGGCGTGATGTTTTAAATTGGTCATCAGGCAGAAAGTGTTGCTCATCAACTGTTTAGGCTAACTGGTGTTATTCGCTGCATTTACATCACAGTCTAAATGCTTTTCACTGTTTTGACTCTCTTCCTTCTCAGTACAATGAGAGAGCATTCTTTGCGCAGAACCGAATCTCAGAAATTCCTTGTGGGCTTTTAACCTTACTTCCTACTGCCTTTGCTCACGACAAACTCAGCTATTCTCACAATGCGGTCTTAATAGTGGCTATTCCCTTCAGTATATTTTGATTAAAGGCTCAATAAAACGAGCTTGAATAGTAAAATAAACTTGTAGAATCGTTTAAATACTCTGGAAGTTCAAGTATCGATTCTGTTAATCGAAGAAGAAACGGAAATGAGAGGATTGTAGGAAGCTAACTGCTAGAATTTACGCATCAGTTGTAAAATTAACTGAAATCGTGTGATTATCTTTCGGCTGTCATGATAATTCAGTTCTGCAATTCTGCCCCTTTGTTAACATTATTTAGTCTGTTACTGACTTGCCACTGGTGGGTTACAGCCAGCAATCTCTGATTCATGTCTGCAACAAATGAACTTACAATAACGAAGCATGAGCAATCGCAAAGAATCAGCACCAGATACAGCAAGAAATACACCCTAGGCCGTCCTGACTGCCCTGCTGCTAACTTGGAACCCTTAATACATATAATGTTATTTACATGTTGGTGCAATAGTCATGTTATATAGAAAAATTGGGGGGGGGGNATCAGGCATTCGCAAATGGAACTTCCGTGACTCATCTCAAGGAGATAAAAATACGCATTTACGATATACACTGACAGCACGTAGTGATTTCGCCTCAACGGGTTCCCTTCAGTTTCAACCGTCCCCAACGTTCCCCTTACCTGCTTAAAATGAAGGCTGCCCGGATTAGTCCGGTTATTGCGTCACATCTGAACAAGTGGAGCAGTCTCAAAGTAACATTTTGTTTTATAACACATAATGCAGGGAGATTTTTAGCATAAAGACAATAGGTGTTCGATCTATCCAGCCTAACTATGCCACCCTGGCAGGACAGACCCACGACTCAACGATCCTCAAAGAGTCACAAAAAAGACAGGAAACTTCCCTCAAGTCGTACGAGCAGGTAAATTGCATTCCGTGAACTCGCTCAATCATGGAGCTGAGTTCTTCTTGAGAAGCTGCCAGTTGTGCAGCCACTCAAGAACTTTCCAGCATTTTTTTTGGGAACAATGAGGTTCATTACCGTGTTTACAAGAACCCATCACTGGTCCCTATACTGTGCCAGATCAAGCCAATTCATACAATCCCATTCTATCTCTCTAAAATCCATTTTAATACTGTTCACCCGCTTGTGTCTTGGTCTTCTCATTGGCCTCCTTCCTTCTGGCTTTCCCACCAATATCCTATATGCATTCCTCTTCGCCCCCATTCGTGCTACATGCCCTGCCCACCTCATCCTTGACTTCGTCATTCTAATTATACTTGGAGAAGAGTACAAGTTATGAAGCCCCTCATTGTGCAGTTCTCTCAAACTTCCTGTCACTTCATCTGTCTTAGGTCCAAATATTCTCCCCAGCACACTGTTCTCAAACACCCTCAGCCTACTTCCTCCCTTAAAGTCATAGGACAAGTTTCGCACCCATCCAGAACCACAGGCAAAATTATAGTTTTGTACATTCTAATTTCTATGACAACAGACGAGAAGGCAAAAGGTTCTGGACTGAATGGTAGGAAGCATTACCCGAGTTCAATCTCCTCTTAATTTCCTCCTGAATCAGTAATCTGTAAGTATCTCTTCATTAATAAAATCAGTCTGTTGTACATCTAGGGTTGGTGATGGGATACTACAGATCAGGCCGAGAGAAGTCTGATTCTCAGAAATCGCTGGACACTTAAGAATTGAAATTAAAAGTCTCTGAAGTATAACAGCATATATAAAACTCAGATTATGGAAAGTAAATTGTTACAGGGACAGGGTATCGACGTTTAGTGGCTGAGTTAAGTCCTGAAGTCCGCCCTCAAGCCCCAGAATATGATATTATATAGCTCACAGGAAGGGCGTTGTCTTGTGACGTCATGTCACACGCTAGATTCCACGTGGAGATCAGAGCGTAGAGTCGGGTGCAAAGGTGCTTCACTGGGCACTGTTGTTTGGCCTTCTTGACGACACGACACGTGTAGGTTGCATCACTGTTGGTATGCCTCAAGCCTCGTATCAGCAAGCGTTCAATATACCTATTACTAGACACAGCTTCCTGCCTGTATAAAATGGTTCATAATAAAATGCACTATCACGTGTCCGGGGTTTCGTGACGAATAATAACGGGTTCTGGATTTAATGATTGGATTTATTAACACTTATTTTACAATCTCTCTTAATGAGACTCAATTAGAGCGCTATCGCTAATCTACCCACTTCACAGATCCATTCTCGTCCTTGTACTCTCAACTGCCAGCTTCGGAAATCGCTTCTCTTATAACCACTTTCACGGACCCAAAGGAAAACACAGCCTGTATTGTTGATGAAGCTTTTTTACCTCGCCGTTGTTTACCTATAGACTCCCTATTGTTGTCACGTGCTTAAGCGGGAAGGTGTTTACCTGGCCGTTGCCTAGCAATGGGCTCCCTGTTGTTGCATGCATGTGCGTTGCGGGAATGCGTTTACCAAGCCGTTGCCTAGCAATGAGTATACACGTTACACTACTATTAATGTAGAACCTATACAACATTGCTGTAAGTCTTACACATATTCGTATGTTAATACGGGGGTTCGTATACTCCAAGTCATCCAAGCAGCAACAATTCTAAAATAAATTAATAAATTCATGGATTTATTTTGCGGCAACAATTTCAAATTTCTCCACTTAGAAGACGGATGTAATATTTGTTCGCATTCACATTGAACCTGGCAAGTTGAGCGCATGCTCTAAACCAATATTGCTAGGCCTGCTGTCGGTAATTGTTAGCTACAAAGCAGTTGAAAGAAGAATCTATTGCCTCTGCAGAGAATCGAACCCCGGCTTCCAGCCCGTAGTCAATCACTACATGAAATCGGCTAGTCCTGCTAATTATGTTTTTGTTTATGGTGTTTACGTTTTC